ATATATATAGATATATATATATATATATATATATATATATATATATATATATATATAAAACGTAGATAGAAGAGGAGAAAAAAAAGAGATTTGTTAAAAAATAAACTGTTTTTTAGGATTTCGGGAAAAACTTTTCTTTTATATATAAAGATTACAGATAAAAAAATTAAATAAAAAATAATATAATCAAAATTAGTAAAGTTCATGTTCAAATCCAATACAATAGAAAATCAAAATGTAAAAATTATACTAAGTGGAATCATAATGTATATCTATTTTAGAAATAAAAGTTGGTACACACCTACGTTTATGTACTGAAAAAAAAACGACTTACTATTTCTTGTGGCATATAATATTAATATTAGACATCGATCCTACAAAAAGAAATGTGATATATATGAAGATAATATTTTGAATAAATTAGGAAGACAAAACAAACATATTTTAAATGCATAAATATTACATAAGACAATGAATGAAATAAAAAGTAAAACTCTTGTCTGTGGCTATGATAGTAAAAAGGGTAATGGAATAGTGATCTGAAAATCATTCATCAAATTTTAAATTGAATTGGATAATATAAAACAACTAAGATATTTAATTGCATATATTTCACTTAAAGAATATGTTTACACTGGAGATATTCAATGTCTTAACTTAAATAATTAACTTCTCTTAGACTATTCATCCAAAAAAAATTTAAGTAAAACACAATACTCATTACATTTCTAAATTCTTGCCTTAAAATAGTAAGTGAAAAATCATAAGCAACAGAAGCATGTGCAATTGAATCGTTCATCTAAAAAATCATAATAACTAAAAATACCAAATTTAAGATTATCAGACTGTCTTAATATAAAATCAATTTCTCTTAAATCGTTCATTCAATAATAGAGAAATTTTGACACAACAATTATTTATATGTTTAAAGTATCCGGTCTAAATATTTTTTTTCGAATAATCGGACATTTTAAACTTGAAGACAACAAAATATTTCTCAGTCATTAATCAATCAAAAGCATCAGAAGAAATTTAAAAGAAAATCATAAAAATCGGCTATTCTTTCAAATTTTATAAAACACTTAAGGTAAGTAATATTTTTATGTGTAATTTTAAATTAAAATAGTAAGAACAAAATTTGATAAGTAAACTGGGAGTTTTGGACAACTAAGATATAGGAAAATTAAATAGTGATTTTGCAAAATTATTATTCAAATTTTAAATAGTTCTGGATAATTAATGCAACATAACTAATATATTCAGTTCCACATACTTCAATTAAAACTAAGTCCATGTCGGACATATTCAATGTCTTAGGTTAGAAAATTAATTTATCTTAAACTGTTCATCGAGAAAAAATTAAAGTTGAGTACAACGCATTTAAATGTTAAATCCTTATCTTAAAATAGTTACCGAAAAGTCAAGCAAAGAAAGTATTTGCAAAAATCAAGTTTACGATCTCAAAAGTATCGACAGGCGTTTTCTTTGCAAATTGCAAGAAAAGACTAAGACAAAAGTTTTATTATTCTGCATGATTAATCCTAAAACTACGTACTTAATTATATTTATACTAATCAAATAGAGACCTAATGACCTAGGAAAACAATGAAAAGATAAATACTAACTAAGAAATAAAAGGAACCCTATCAACTAAACAATACATATGGAAAAAGAACTCAAATAAGTTGCAATTCTAATCTAACTATCCTACTCCATAATATTGGGCCGAATCACTGCTCTTAAACTGTAAACTATTAAAATCATAGACAAATGAAAAAGAGCTATATGATCAGGTAATAGTTGAAAAATCATGCAACCATGTTTCATTACAGTGCATATGATCAGTTGAAAGTTAAAGGTCATCACACTGACATGCAATAATAAACTATAAATAGTTAAGAAACCATTTACAGATAAAAACAAATTCTTTAGAAGAAATCCATCTTAGCAAAATGAGAAACTGTGAATTTTTTATTCTACACCCAATCTGTCAATGAAAAAATCTAGTAATTATATAAGAACAACAAATCGGGGAGAATAAACATATAAAATGAATGAACCATAAAGGAAACTAACTCGAAAAACCACATTGTGGATATTCCAAATTTAGGGTATTTAGTAAATGACTTACCATTATCAATTACTAACACAAAGCAGTCTCCACTAATAGTTTCTGTAGAGGAATCAAGAAAAAAAAAAAAAAGAACTATGAATAAATTTAGTAAACTCGTGTTTATTATACAAAAAACCACCGTCGTTTGTGAGTAGGAATCGGAAAAGGAAAAATTGATTTCTGCATACCCCAAAGATGATAGTTAAATGTGGGAAGGTAGTTTTGTT